ATGTTTTTTGTCTTTGCGTTTTGTCTTTCTCTAAACATCTTACAGCAGTCAAAAAAAGCTCAGTGTGTAAGGACGAGCGCATGAAGCTCTAATTGACAGTCGCATCGGTGCAAATACGCTCTCTGTACCAAATATGTATATTAAATATTTTCTTGCGTTGGCTTGGAAATGAACATGAGACTCAGTTGGAAATTTTCCCTGCTGTTTTCCAGAAATTCGCAAGTACTTTCTATACATATTGCCAATCAGCAAGATTCGATTTAAAAAATAAAAGGATTATATTAAGACACCTGTTCGAACGTTTGGCTATTGTTCATCATCATTTGAGGTGCCTGCGTTGTATTCACTCCTGTCTGCATGGCAGCATGGGTCACAACTTGGGGTTGCGACTGTTGTGCACAGTTTTGCTGAGCCGTTCCCTCGATTTCCATTTCGGAAAGCTGCATCTAAATAACCTTTGGTTTACTGAACTTTAGCAGTGTATTACACAAAAAGATCTGGTGATGTTAATATGAAAACTTTTGAAAAAACTAACAGGCTGTTGCCATTGTTGATGGCAGACTACCATAGCTTGCTGAGATTGCTGGGTATTGTTAGTCACGGTGCAATCAACGTTCTGTAAAATCTTTCTTAGATGCGTTCCAATCACAATTCCCTTTTTTTTGAAGACTGCACCTGAACAACAGCACCACTGTTTCCCATAGCTCGAGATGCATCTTCGAGAACACTTTTGAAAATCTCCTCCATATCGACAGTTTGCGATTTCCCCTCCTGGACAATTCTTCTAGAAAAAGTCTACTTACAAATGCTGCTTACTAGTTTGAGACAAGTATTGAGCTTACCCATTTTGTTGGTAGACAACAGGCTGGTCGTGATTTAACTGCATTCCAGAGGCGTCACATATAATGACAGATTGGAGCTGAATGTAGCTAATTTAATCCTCTACTTTGAATCAAAGGAAATTTGCAAAGCACCTGCTGATCTTCCTCGACAACATTCGTTTTCTGATTCTGCTGTTCAAAATTATGCGCTGGAATCTCATAATTGTTTTCAACGGACTCTTGCGCGGCTGAAGCTGGCGAGTTTGCTTGTGAAGTCTAGAAGCAATTAGCATTACTGAATGTTTACGAAGAACAAGCTGAAAGCATGAAAATCATAAACATTGATAACGCACCTTTTCATTGTCAGGCGAACTAGCTTGCTGTTGTTCGGCCTAAAAATGGGTAACAAAATTAACAGCTCAAAGGAAATTTTAGGATGTTCAATAAGTGTCTGGATACTGTACTGAGGACAGTTGCCAAGAATGCACTTTGGGAAATCTAGTTAGCAGTATACGCAATTACACAGCATGTTTATAAGAGACGGTTGGACAACCTTCCA